CGAGCCTGCGTGCAATATGATTCTTTGACGATCAACCTGACACAAGCAACGATGTGCAGGCTTATGTTGTTAACTGATTTACGCCGGAGCGCTCATGTTACTGTTCAATCTGTTTATATAACGTGACTATACCATTTTAATTATAGTTCTATGATGATAGTATGATCTATCAGCTGATTGTAAATTTTTATTGTCAAAGAAGTTTGTTTTCTGAGTGTGGTTAATATGAGCGACAAACAGCCGATACCGCCAGTAAAGGCGACCGGTGATGCGACGCCGGTTAAACGAACGGTCCGAACAGTAACGGTGAGTGTCGGCATTCGACAAAATTAAATTCTGCAAAACTGCTTGGTTTAGTTGGTTATAAGTGTATATTTTAGTTTTTCTCATAAAATAGATCAAATCGTTTTTTACCGGGGTTTGATTATAGCGTGAATTTTAAAAGGATGAACAAAAACTGTATGTTTATTGGTTTCAGCGACAGGATTCGATTCCATGTCCACGAACGGACAACTCTCACAATTGTCAGTCCCGGCAAGCTTCAGCTTCTGCTTCACAGCCTATTACACAAGCGCATACACCGCGTACTTGTCTTTCCACCAACGGCCACAATGTAATGTTTCTCTTGCTGGTATCGAATTCAGAATTATATTTGGAAGGTCAAAGTTTTGAATCGAAGAATATGCTACATTCAATAGGCTTATTCATGCATGCATATCTTTACTTTTTATTTACGTAGGCGCTGCACGGTTGAAACGGGCAAGCCTAATATAACATATGGCAGACGTAGTCTGACTATATACTCGTATTTTGCACCGAGCGCGAAGCGCGAGGTGCTGCAATTAACTGATCGTCAAGTGATGCACGCTCCATAGCAGAGCATACATTTCCACAGCAGAGCCAAAAACCAAAAAAAGCGTACGTAACACTTTTCCAATTTCACAATCCAATACCATTTTCCAGTGGCATTGGCGAAGTTAACCAGAGAAGAATTGTTAATTATCTTTATCTTTAACACTTTAACAAAATGCTCCAACCAAACAGTTGGCTGGTGCAAAGAAGTTGGTAGCCGTCTCTGTAGCTCTCTGAATTTCAGTTCGTACATGTAATATCGTACTTTCGTTTTCAATTTTTTCCGCATACTTACTAGTTACTATGTGGAATTTTGACACAGATCACTCTGAGAAATCTGTGTTTAGTTTATGACGGATTTGTTCATAAAATGACAGCGGAATAAAATTAAGTATATATCTATTATTATATATCTGAACAAAAAGGTCGAAAAACATATCTGCTGTTTGCAATTCACCTATTCAACTTTCAGTGTAAACATTTGTCGGTGAGTATCACTCCCGCTCGGTGCAATGATGTGGTTATCAACCACCACTAGTATATTAGTATAGGATCCAACGTGTAACTGAAAGGTCAGGATGATTCTGTCTGTTCTGAGCTTCTGCGTCTGTCTATCCTCTAACGGGGAAAAGATGGAAAGTAAAGGGCACTAAAGGTTAGCCTCAATCCTGCCTGTTCAGTTGCCGATTCTCTGCCGGATTCCCATTCGAGTATTGAAGAGATGCTGTACATCAGTACATGTATCGCAAAGCTAGACGGTCGGTATTCCAACAGCAGTCATACAATCGTAGGGCAGGCTGGGCAGCAGGTTTGCATTCGCATTGTCCTACGACAGTATTAGCGGATACTCACCTCACTCTCCATACTATCTGCGCTCAGAAAAAATTATTGAACTGGAACACCTAATTGCTCGTTTCCCAGGACAAGAATGCTGTGTCCAGAATGAACAGTGCTTGTCAAAATAACGTACTGAGTTCAGGCATTCCGAAATTCTACTCTAGAAAATCCACGTTGGAAATACACAACTCGTACGCAGATGAACGCATGGTTCCGATTTAACTGGCATCAGTGAAATGTGTATTTTCCCTATCAGTATCCAGTATCCACACCGAATTTCTTTTGCACGACTGCATTGTTTTACAAAGGAAACCTAAATAGATCGAAAAACTACACCCATGTCACCGGTGTAGCCATGATGAAAGGGAACACTGGAAGCGATGGTCCGGTGGTATGGGTGCAGTTTTCGATCTATCGCCTACACTTCTACGGAAAATCAACGTGTAACAAAGGTTACAAATGTTCTGTCTGTTCTGAGCTTTTCTGTGCGTCTGTCTATCCTCTAACGGGGAAAAGATGGAAAGTAAAGGACACCAAAGGTTAGCCTCAATCCTGCCTGTTCAGTTGCCGATTCTCTGTCGGATTCCCATTCGAAGAGATGCTATACATGTATCGCAAACCTGAACTACATGTATAGAAGTATAGACTGTCGGTATTCCAACAGCAATCATACAATCGTAGGGTAGGGCAGCAGGCTTGCATTCGTATCGTAATACGATACTGTGTCGTCGACTCAAGTTGGCACTATTTTTTACACTGCGCCAAATCCATGTTGTACAGCACCGTGCACCGTGCAGGCGTGCACTGAACTGCTTGAACAATATCACACAATCAACCCGGGCGGCTGAAAGCGAATTCCGTTAAAAAAAACGACCGAGCGTATTGTTTTCATAATTTTAAATTATAGGTGAGTTTTCATAATTTTGTCAAAAATATTACACCCGAGATTTCGGGGAATTCTTCCAAATCAGCGCAGGTCCCCCGTGCGCAAAGAGGAATGCCCCAGAATTTTGAGTGTCGTTTGGGCGACCGCTCGTGGTCGTAAATCTTGGGGATGCGAGTTTCAAAAATCGGCCTTAACCGTTTTGTTCTGAATTTTACGACGAATCTGACGGTGTATTCAAAGAACTATCAGAAAAAATCTGTAGGAGGATTTCAATTTTGTAAATTTAACGGGGGTCTCGATACGGGCCTGATAGTAGGCCGTATTTGGCAACAGTCGCTATCAACCGCCCAGGTTGATTGTATGATGCTGTTCCAGCAGTTCAGTGCACGCTTGCACGGCGCATGGTGCTGTATAGCATGGATTTGGCGCAGTGTAAAAAATAGTGCCAACTTGAGTCGACGACACAGTAGTATCAGTGGATGGCTCCCCTCATTCTTCATTCTATGTATCGGTGCTCAGAAAAAAATCATTGAACTAGAACACTTAATTGCTCGTTTCCCAGGACAAGAATGCAGTGTCCAGGCTGAGCAGGAGAATATGAAATGAAAAGGAATGCAGGTCAAGACAACGTATTGCTGTACATCAGAATAGTTCAGACATTCCCAAATTCTAGAAATTCCACGTTAGAACTGGACAACTCATACGCAGAGTCGCAGATAACGCATTGTTCCGATTTGACTAGCGTCATTGAAATTCAATTTTCAATACGCACACAATTAATATTCTCTTGCACGGCTGCAGTACTCGTACGTATTTTGGTTTTTTTCGCATTTATTCTTAAACAATCCACGCGCCTGCGTAAGGCTTCCGTAGGAAGCGTTCCGAAGGAGTTTTTTATAACTGACAATGCCAACTGTCTACACAACAGAAGTAAAAGTAGCCTTTTTTATCATTTGCATCATTAATTTTAACGGTAAAGAATAACACACATACACATAAAGTTAAATGTTTGAATTGTGGTTACTTTTGACTCCCTGTAAGATAATATGTGTCACAGAAATGCAAAGGATACAGATTTGTAAAGCTTCCTGCTGGTAGTAATATAAATGTTATGGATTGCTAAAGGATTCAGTATCGAAAAAGAGAAAACGAGGCGTTTGTCGAAACCTTGAAATAGTCGTCACATGCTAAAGTTGCTGCAGGTGGCCATCGAAGTACGAAATTACATTCATGTTTCAGGGCTTAAGACAAATAAAGAGGTTAAAAATTTATTAATTTATTTGTCGATGATTTAATTTAACGTCAAAGTTTTTTTTAGCTAAACCTGTCAAACGGCAATGTACAGATACAGCGCTATGTAGGGATTTTCCGTTGTATTACTACTTTGTACCTTTTGTAGACCGGCATCGTCCGATGCTTTCGGTAATTAAAAATTACAATAATTCTCGACATTATCTGCAGTCAACAACATAAATGTATTTTGCAGCTTCTAATTGCCAATTTACAAAACCGAGGCAAATTTAGAATCGGTTTGTCTGAAATTTCAGGCTGTTAACGCTGCAAGCGGTAGTTTAAGCGCTCGAACACCAAGTAGCCAAATGTCTCCCAGACAGCTTACTGGAAGAGAACAAGCCTCATCCCCAGTATTAAAGCGCAACTTAAAGCCGGCGTGTCAGCCGACCACCGCTGATCCCATCAGTTCGTCTGGCGCTGAACCAGCAGCCAAGATTGCCGGCAGCCGAAAGAAACCAGAGTTAGGCAAAGGACGCCTGGAGCGAGGCAAACAAATTTCCCATCTTGGCTTGTTTCCTTTAACGGAAAACAAACAAGTACAGCGGCAGTCAACCTCCATGACAGCCGAAGCTGGCGATGATCATCTGGCCAATTTGGAAGATGTCATTTCTTCCAATCAGCATGATCACAAAAAGCACTCAACGGCAGGTTCGTAACCGTTCATAATAATACGACTATAAGTACAGTTTGTATGCGCGCTAACATTACCGGTTTATTAATTTTGAGTTTTTGACTACTCTATTCAGCTGATCGTAAACATGCGCTTTTATTATGCAGTGCGATCCATTTGCTTCTGGTTTGATGTTGTGCCTGTAATACTAATGTGGGACCGCGCCCTTGTTTTTATAAACCATTCAGCCAAGATCAGTTGTCAGGAACTGCATTAAGTACGAAATCTGCCTTCACAGGTTTTCGTTGTTCTTCTGTACACATATGCATGAAGGTTCTATAGCTACGGTGTATATTTTATTTCAGATGCCTAATTAATGTTTCTACATTTAAGATGATTTTAATTTCAATATTTTTATATCGGTTTCTGCGCTATTTGCAGCATCAGGTAGACAGCACTTTCAAATAATAATTATTACAGTAATATGCTTGTAAAAAAAGGGACGCTTATCGAGAAGCGCCAGAATTCCCAGCCCAATATCCATTGGCATTTCGTTGTCAGCAGTACTGTACAGATACAGTAGTTTTGCAGCTATGAAGTACAAAAGCCGACCCAAACTTCCAGTTGCGAAAGGCATTTAAATCCTCAAAAATAACTTAGTTATCACGAAGCAAAAACTGTTCAAGCGCTATAACTTAAGAGCAAGTGCACGAAATGCATCAATGCAAATTTTTATTAATTTTAGCGCCATGGAAAAAGCAAATCGATCTCGTCAGCAGATTTCTCTTGGACTATGCCGAAAGCCATCCACAGTTTTCTTCGCAGCTCACTTCCTGTCGTATGAACATCGTAAGATCGAACCCTCTTTTGTGTCACGTTTGTGTAATTTCGTATCTGGCAAGTAGATTTCGATGGGTTTGGATGTCGTCTTCATGTAGAAGATGAAGATCAAATAGAGATGCCCTCGTAGAAAGATTAAATGCGGACAAGTGCCTTACAGCTGCAATTTATACAGTACCGTTATCAGACTAGCGAGTATTTTGCCGATTTTTCGGAGGGACTTCCGGCACGCAAAAAAATATTAACAAGCGGCATTATTTCCACGCAATATATCTGCGAATAATTAATAAAGTAAATCTTGCTGCTAGTGACCCACCTGTAGTTACGTGCACTAATTTTGCAGATAAGTCGAACAACTGCATGGGTCAATTGTAGCAATTAATGCCCAACTGATATAAACCCTGGTAAATTACTAAAATAAGTACAAGGAAAACTTGCCAAATTTTTGAGTCGTACGTATCGTTTACCATTTTTCAAAGTCGTTTTCCAACTTTTAACTGCAGTTTTTCTTATCACCCATAACATACATCTTAAGAAGCATCTCCGCTTGAAACAACGATGTTTTCGCTGAAAGGGGTTAACTCTCTGTAATATCTGGTTTTTTACTTTTGGGTGCAGCCAAAAATATGCAGCCCTTTTGATAGCGTATGCTTTATAATATGCAGATTTCTGGTGAGTTCCTTACAATTTCGATACATGCATTTGTATGTGCTCACAGTTGCAGCTCGCCTCAAAGATTATCACGTTCGCTTGTCCTTAGAGGTAGCCGACATGAAATCAGCTTTAAAGGTAGCTGTAATTATAGATTATTGGACTGAAGACGATGAAATCAATTAAAGGGGATCAGCTGACATTATCCATAACGCTCGATATTACATCCACGGCTTTCGATTCCAACGATCCAAAAACCAAAAATGGTCTCCGGAAGATGCCTGGGCCAGTGCACAAAAGCCCTGTCAAGTAAGCGTAAAGTGTTATTGACAATACCATTGATAGCGGTATTGTGAGATACCGGCGCGGTGATGATGGCACGTCGTTAATTCAATTATGCGATCGATGAGTAAACCTGAATATTCCTACGGTAGCTGTATTGTTAGAGTGTGCGCTTCGTACAAAGTCTGTGGTATTATGGTTTTTAATCAAACTTGTTGAACAGCACACATGTGTCCTCTCCCAAAGAACCGAGACAGGATGTTGAGCTGCATGAGCCTCCAGCATCAACGGCACCGGAACAGCAATCTGACCATAATTTGGATATACCGCCCAATGATACCGCATCCAGCTGAAAGCGGTGTTGAAAGATCCGATATTAATTATGAATTATATTTTTTCACAAAAGTTTGGTAAAGATATTACGTTTCGGTTGCAATTATGTATGGATGCGCAGGGTTTTTAAGGAAAGAATATTATGTATATGCGATTTCTGTTAATAATAACCAAAACTAAATGTTAATGCAAATTTATATATCTGACTTTAAGCGGCCAGTTCGTGAAATCTGCGATATGCATCCAATGACGATTAGTAGCTCGTACGCCGATCCAAAGGGACGCCTACAAGAAACAATTGGCAGAATTTGCATGATAATCAAAAAGGATAATATTTAGGAACTGCGACCTAGATCTGTACTGCGGTAAAGGTGTAAGTATAAAAGTAAGAAAGGGCAAGAACACAGTCAATAAATTTGTGTGCTAAAAACTGCGTTTATTACCCAGATATATCCAACATTTTCTTCGTCATGTTTTTACAATCCAGTTCTTCCACCGTTCCAGACTTATTCAGATATAAACAAAATTTGTACAAGGTACCGGCTTTCAGATTGCCAATTGTATATCGCCGCACCAAGTGGTCCATAAACACCGTACGAATCAAGGTGAAATTCTCCCCAATCCATTCGAAATACCGCACGCGAAACTGCGATGCAATGGACGGATCGGAATTATTCCACGCAAAGGTCACGTACTGGTGGGTTATCATCAGCGGGATGATGACCACCGGTGCATAGGTGACAATAACCTGTACGGTGCGGTTGACCGCTCCATACTCACTGGTCGCGCGACACAGGTATTTACCGCTGTTGACAAAATTCAACGGTCGCAACTGCAGCATTCCCGAAATAGAGGGCATGGGTTGTTCAATCTTGCGTCTCTCATCCAGTCGGAACCAATTAATCCGGGCAGTGGAGGGAAAAGCGGTACACTGGATTTCCAGGACCATGCCCAGATCCATGGTAATAATTTTCGGGAATGTCGGAATTATTTGCGGTGACGCGATAGACCAATCATACATGTTTTTTTGGCTTGTTAACTCCGGGACAGTGAGGATCTGTCCTTGCCAGACACAAGTGGCATTGTGCGGTTGACTGTGTACAAGATAATCTATATTGATTGGGCAGGAAAGTGGGACACCGATGAGCGAAGCTGTCATGTCGGACGCAGCGGAAATGTCCAGCGGAACTTGTACAATACTACTCCTGTCCACATTCATTACACTGACATTATTCATTCCCACAAATCCGTCTTCAATAAACGTCAGATTGTAATTGTGCGATAAATCAAGAGTATTTACACCGGAAATCCCACTCAATGCTGAGGAGGCAATTTTCCATAAGTACGGCATAAACGACAGATTGAGGTGCTTTGTCTCAATGCCTTGCAGTGAGCCGGCATCCAGAATAACAAACGCATTGCCGGAAATGTCCAGTGTGGTAGCGTTGAGGTGTTCACATTTGAGACTGGTGATCCGGTTGAAGGAAATATCCAAATGGGACAAAGTGAGGAAATTCAGCCAAAGGTCACTGAGATTATTATGCCCAACGTCCAGGTGGGTTAATTGGGATAAACTAGTAAATACGCCCACTTTCAGGGAGGTTAAGCTGTTCTCCGCCAAATCCAGCACTCTTAGCCGGGGTAAATCGAGCGTATCACTATCGACCGTCCGTATGGCATTGCCCCGCAGGCTGAGTGTTTGTAAATTGCGCAGTAGCTGGAAAAAGTCATTATCACCACTGGACACCCGTGGGATTAGATTATAACCCAGATCGAGATGCTGCAGATGGGGCAGTGATAAACGACCGAAGAAACCCTGGATCATGTTGTGCGATAAGTCCAGTAGGCGGATCTTGCCGGCATTTTTTATTCCCACGTGCATCGTAATGGAATTGTTTCTCAGCAGAATGGCTTCCGTGTCAGAAGATAAATCTCGTGGGATGCGCTTTAAATTCCGACTGGAACAGCTGGTTGTACTGGATGTTTGCGTGTGGTTGAGGAGTCGGACATATATGTCGCGATTTTCACACCGGCACTCCACAGGACATGAGCCGGAGACAGCTATTGTAACGTTTGGCTGCAGCCATATACCGATGTCCAGGATAAGTAGTACTTTGGCCACATATTCCCGGGAGTGTATAGGCATCCTACAAATTTAACAAAAACAAAAATTCAAAAATTATCGCAGATTACTTTGCTAATGTATTTTGACTTAGATCTTTAAGCAAAAATTACGCAAATAATGAAATTACTGTAGATGTGCCATTCTAAAACAGCATCAGTTACTGTAAGACAGTAATAAGAAAGGCCAATTTGCGTTTACTGTCAATTTTAATTTTCGCTTTGATATATTGTTACAGCACGTAAATAAAGCAAACAGCACATTTCGAGTAGCAATTACATTCTTAATTTGTTCACCATTCTTTAAACAGTATTCCTAAAACGTTACTTTTTTTAGATTTAAGGGCAGCGTTTTTACTTTTTCCACATTCATAAGGCTGGAACAAACCAACGTCTGCAGAAGTTATTTAATTCTTGTTACTAATAGATAGCGATATAAGCGATAAAAGCGATAACTTCCCGTGCGATAAAAGCGAAATTATAATATATCCTTCCTGTTTTGCCAGACCTCGTTCACATGAACATTTTCCTGTATATAGGTATTTCTATGCAAAAATCCAAATTATTTAAATCTGATTTGTGACTGATTCCAGAATGCATGAAAACCGTACTGAGCAGCAGATTAATCATTTTAATAGCCTTATTTGAACAGCAGTTTGGTCGGCAAATAATATTGTTTATCTTAGCTCGAGGATTCATCTATAAAACATAATCTGATGCGCTGCTTCTATATGCATATTTCGTTACCAAGTATCGGTTTAGTTATCGACATCAATTTTAGAATAGGTTAAGGAAACAGTATCAAGTTTTCTTCCTAAATATTTGCTGTGATTACAGACACAGCTCCTCTTTGCAAACAACTTTGATCGATACATTGCGCTTGCAGGCCAAAATTAAGACAATATGTTGTAGTTCTCACTTCCCAGTACGGTATGTAATATTTGTTGGAAATTATACTTTTTTTCTTACATCGAGAATGTCTTTAATGAACAGTTCTTTTGTCATGCTTTTTGCCCAACTTCACTGCACTTAAAAACAAGGCCAAAATAACAATCAAAACTCACATATAAGTTTCTAATCGATATTTTATCGTAGAATGTAAACAGCGAGGAATGTATTCTAAATTAGAAAATCGTGAGCATCCATAACGGTACAACAGATGTGCATCAATATTTGCAGGCAGAAATGTTAAATTAGTCGCAACGGAGAAAGCAAACCGGAGACTGCTAACGGTATATATAATTAATTACGACACTAGCATGCAGCTTTGTTTAAACAAATTTAAATCTCTATGTTATTATTATCACAATAATTTCAGTTTTCGAATAAAAAAATTTTTGCTGTCCCATTACAACACTTCTATGACAAACAGAGATAAATAGCTTTCTAGTGATTGTAATATTGTATTTGTAATAGCTTTCTTGTGTATTTCTAAAATGCGTAAATAGCAAATCTAAAATGGGTATCGATTAATTATCTGTTTTACGAAAGTGTTTTTAAATGTTGTTATTTCGACTTACGAAATTTGGTTATTATTGTAGACTACGTAAATATGCGCGGTCCTCTCACGTTCAGTGTAACAACGATTTGGAATTCCGTCAACAAATCAGGAAAGTCAAGAGCTTGTAACAGAATATATGGCCGATCATCATCCTGCAGTGGTTAAGATGGCTGGAGCGCACTTGAAAGCGTCTGAGGCCATGGGAAAATGAGGCATGCATGAAAACTCAAGCAAGCCATTAACTTAGCCAACAATTAGGTCCCCATGGTATTCTACGGGTACAGTATTGGGCACACAAAGTCAAAATGCCGGCTTGTAATTCGGGAGAAAGAAATTGCACAACTGTTTTTGGCGGCATTGATCACGAATACACAAGTTACGTTTGCTCGCAGACATTTTATGCCGACAAATTTGCATGGAATCTCTAGAGAACAAGGATAAAGATTCAGAAAAGTTTGGGAATGTCTGTCAAACCATTTGTTATGGACAGTTTGACAGTTGCGAAATACGCATGTGCTATGGGCTTGATTATCCTGTCAAAGGGGCGTGGTTCTGGGAGGATAAAGAAATAATAGGTTTGAGGACAGGAATTCCAGTGCTGATCTTTGAAAACGGGCTCGCCAAAATGTCTTTTCTACATAGAGTCCAACATAAGTTCACTGGTACAGTATATTCATTTTCTACAGTCTTCTTTAAATTTGAGTAGGTTCGTAAATTTAGGCGAGACTCAAATTAAGTTTAGAGACTGTAATTTGTAAGTCTTAAGACTATATTTTATATATATATAGTTAGGTGCCATTAAGGCATCAATTAACATAACGCTACTGCTAATCAAAAATTTACGATTATACAATTTATTACACGTATATCTCAAATGCTTAACATTAGGAATCATTTGAGGCGAGCATAATTAAAACTCTATTTTTTTGCAGCCAAAAGTACAAGTTAGAACCCTACTACGCTAGCATAACGACTGTGCGTATATTAATTATAAACAGTTTTTCGATACATTGTTGAACTCTGCAATATGCATATAAATATTTTCTTTTTTCTGTACACGTTGCTTAAATTTTCAACGTACACTTCGTTTCTCCCCTTTGTACTTCAGAAGTTTTCTTAGTTTTGCGAGTTTCGATTGCATTTTACGGTAATTTCTTCGGAGGCTAACAGTAGGCGGTACACCGGATATGATAGATATGTGTTTGGAAGGATTGGTTATTGAGCGATTTTCTGCTAGTCAATCTGACGATCTTGTGCTGATCCAGTGGAGCTTAGCTTCTGCGGCCCAATCCTGTTGTGCCCAGTATGGCTACTGCGCTCCGTTAACTATTCCTACATCTCTGTCGAATTAAGCTGCTCGGGATTGGGAGGCGGTGTCCCTCTGTAAAATTGTGTGACGTGACAACAAATGCGATTAGTATCTGCACAAGCGCGCGCAATCGCAATCGGCACCCGACATTCACACACACACACAGCGGACGGAGAAAAAAATATTTTCTGTACAAATTGAGATTTGAATTTACATTCAAATGGTTTCGTCCATTAAAGTCCCTTGAGATTGTAATGAAGCAGAATCTTAAAGTGCTCCTCAAACCACAACGCTCTACTAACCATCCTTTTCGATTTTCTTCCAACATGGGCACTTCCGCTTTCTCAGGGTATTGCAGTGCACACTACCGTCAACCGGGCAGTTCATAGTACTTGTAAATGTCAGATGCACTGCTGCACAGTCCATATGTATAAACAGATTTAAAAAGAAACCGCTCTACGGAACTATACGCGGAAGCCCTATAAACACTTGTATACAAGTGTTTATAGGGCTTCCGCGTATAATTCCGTAAACATAACAAAACAAAACAAATAACAAAACAAAACAAATAAACATACAAACGATACGTATCGTTTGTATATTTATTTGTTTTGCTATCTCAGTTTACATAAATATTCAATAAGACAAGTCGACAACACACGTTTGTTACAACATATACTTTGTATGTTAGGGCGCTGTCACACTCGTAAGCACACTTTTATTCGGGAATTTCGCTAAACCCAAAATCGCAAAAAAGGTACTACAGTCGAACATTGACTTCTGAGTATGTATTATTATGCTCGTGCAGTTTTTTGAACCGTTTCTGGTTTTCTTGAAATGTGAGCCTAATTAACGTTTTAAGGCACTGCACACGTTCTGGAGTTACATTTTGCGCATACCTATTATTATTATTTACCTATATACTCGTATATTTCATAAAATTTACATGCTTCGATCTGTTGCAATTGCTCTTTATTGCAATCAGGTATTAATGGCGCCACAGTCATATAATATATTTCTAATTTCTGTATACAGATATGTATATCAACACGAAGTGCGGCCTTCAGCGGCCATTCGCTATACATACTCTAATGACCGTACTTACATATCTATACATGCCAATTGCCGCCCTTATCTTATCTAAACCAAGCCACCTGTTTAAATTAAATAAGACAGTGTGAGAAGAATACAGTTGAAAATAAATTTGTGCTGACCCAAAAATTAAATTTACGTATGCACAAAATTAATCGCCTTCTCTGTTATCGTTGATAACAGCTAGAACAATTCCTAACTGATAAAGAAACCGCTTTGAAAATTATCTGCTTTGTGCAAGGCCGTATTAGGCGTTTTATTTCAGGTTTCTTCGTACTGATAAGTAAACCAACGAACCAAGCGCAGTTACAAATAACTTATCAGAAGGGTTGTTAGATAAGAAATTTGCTGATATTGAAATCATATCAGTCACGTTTGTGTATAAAAATAAGGAAAGTTCTGACAACAGATGCGTGTCAGCTTTCTTTTCTAAGGCAGGTACTCTAGCAGCAATCGGTGCTACTCACGTGCTCAAAATGAAGGTCATCTCTGTTTTGCTGTTTGTACTGGCTGCTGCCCAACTGGGATACAGTCGTCCACAGGCTGGGCGCCCAGTGTCCAGTACCGCCCGTAACCCCATTCCCGGCCTTCTTCGACAACCTAAAATGGATCTTTTAGGAATCACGTGTGCAGGTACTTCAGTTAGTTTAGTAAATAAAATTAATCTATGAGAAGCTCCAAACTTGCCATTTAAGATTACTTGCAGCTATAAATGACAATATGTGACCTTAAAACATAAAATTTATTTGATTTGCATGCTGTTATTTGCTTTTTAGCGTGTACGGTAATTGCTGGTGTTACCGATCAGCTGGCAGAAGTGCATGGCGAAAGCTACGGAAAAGCTTTACAGCGTTTCTGTAATGCCTTGCCGAGCCCGTACAGCGGATTGTGCGGAGCATTCCGCTTGATTTTCGGTGTTCAGATCACAAGCTCGTACGTACTTAAATAACTGTTTTCTTTCGTAAAACGTAATGTTTATTTGTAAGGAACCTTAACACATGCTTATGTTACAGGTTAAATAAAGGTGAAACACCGGATACAACGTGTATGGCGATGAAGCTGTGCTCTGAACCGGCAAATGGAGCCGGTATGTGTCACCTTTATCCATCCAAGCATGCCAAAGTACGTGGTGTTTCCAGAAGTGTCCCGTTTTGTCCCAATCTGTCAATTCACCTCTTATCCTTTTATTTGAGATGCGTTTCATATTGACCAGCATGGTATAATTAAATTATCTCCGTAATGCATAGCGGCAGTAAAATTTTAAATACAAACCAAATCGACAATTAGCTGTATGAACATATCACACATATCACATATATTCTCTTGTTTGTGTCACTTGTTATCTTGTTTGTCAGCGGTGTCACATTTATTGAGTAAAGGGGTCTGGTCGCGGACGGTTACATAAGCAAGTTGACCTTTTCTGCTTAACATTTCCATTACGATCTAGCAATTTGTAGGGAGCTTCTGCAGAGGAGGTTCGAGCTCATGTCGATCAGTTAATCCGAGAACTTCCCGCGGCAACACGAGCAGTGGATCCCCGTTTGAACATTTGCGATATTCCCCTGTTGGGAAGCTTGATTTGCGGCTATCTTAATGTAGAAGCTTTCGCCATCAATTTGCCGGCAGATGACGATGATGATGACGGATTCAGCGACAAACGGGTAATTAAGTCTTTCTCATAAGATGATAAATAATGAATGAGCCACACCGGATAAACAAATTTGTAATACTGAAGCCTCGTTGCAGACTTTGAGAGGTTCGGATTGGCGAGGCAAAGACTGCTCCGATCGCAATGCAAACATTTATCCTGGCCGGAAGTAAGATTGGCAGTTGCATGCATAAATTGAACTACTATTTAATGGAATAATCTATTTGGATTGTAGGCCTTCATTTGGCGATAACGTTGCCGACACCAACTGCAACGGAATTTATGTAAGGCACACGCTAACTGCGCCGAACTTTAAAATAGTACAAAAACAGTACAGAAAACTGATACTTCCTTAATTATTGGCGATAACATGTATGACATTTTATACACAACAACCCCAATTTAAAAAAAAAATGTCATCTTGCGTGTTGTTCCTATAGGGCGTTGACCCAGGAAACAATCGCCCGTTTGAGGAGGCATTATGTGAGAACTCACAAGCCAAAGGCGTTGTCGTTCTTGGAGATTCCGTTGCCGCTAATTTCCACGTACCCGGAGAATGGTTTAATGCCAGTTTAATCAATTCCGATTTGTTCAAAAATCTTACCTACATGATGGACAATTCGTTAAATTGGCCGCACACATCTGTTTACACCGGTAAAAATTATTGGGATTACCTATCCACTTAGTCGTCAAAAATGAATTTCGAAAACAGAATTTTCAATTTTACAGGTTTCGAGAATGTAACCTGGTCCATTATCGATGGAACCACGGATTCCGTTTATCTGCGCATGCGAGAGCGAAATCTGTGCAACCATCGCGATTATCAAAATTTAGGTGTGAACGGTGCTACAATGATGGAGGCCAACGGATTCGCTCAAAAGTAATTAAAAAAAGCTCCACTGCGCTTTACATATGATTAAATTCTTCCCGTGTACATGTAATGCATAATTCTATTTTTGCAGTCTCCGAAGAAATTCTAATAACGACAAATCTTCTCTTGTATTGTTTGCGTACATCGGAAACGACGTGTGCGATTAGTAAGTCTTTTAAATTATGATTAACTATTCTTGTAGAGCTTATTATATCATTTGCTGTTTGTAAATCGACTTCCTGTTCACTGACGATAAATAATTCAAATTTTATAGCGATGTCAATAATATCCCACACTCTCTGGACCAAATGACCACCGCGGCGGAAGCCCGTGTGGCGTTGGTGGAAACGCTGACCACTTTGGACCGGAAACTGGCGCCCGGCAGCCATGTCGTCGTCATCGGCGTCGCTGACGCGCGACCTTTCTTTGCCGGCATTCATGACCAGATTCATCCATTTGGATCACTGCGGCGCGATGTGACATATAACGATTTTTACACCTGGTTGTCCTGCCTGGATATTAATCCTTGCCCAGGCTGGTTAACGCGCGACGACAGAATCCATAACTATACTGCGCAGGTACGCGTACTGACATTGCATGGCATGCTCTTGAGGTAGTGGTAAACCGACACCAGTTTTGCGTTATTTCGACCAACAGATAATTTTTTTATACCATTTGTTTTGCTCGCGCGAACACTGACTTATATCATTAGCCTTTTTACAACAATGTGGCAATAAACATCATTTAATTTACAGCGAGTTTCGGAACTCAATGAGGCACTGGAGAAGACCGTGGCAGAGTACAAAAACCGATTCCAGAATCTAGAGCCAGTCTATTTAGCCAATCCAATTTATGAAGGTAAGGCAAGGCTGTATTCAAACAAACGAACACATTTGGTTCTTTCAAAAAAATTAAATGCATTGTTAACCCGCATTCTCGCATGGTTGCAGTTATTGCTCGCCAGGAAGCTCTTGGTGGAAAAGGTTGGCAGTTGGTCGAAAAGTTTGATGGCTTTCATCCTAATCAGGTTAGTAGCCATTTTTTAGCTTGAAAATTATATGTATACGAAGGCATTGTGCTTGATATATTACTTTCTTATTTGCATTGCAGAAAGGTCACAAGCTTTTGGCAGAAGTAGCCTGGGATGCCATGGAAAAGACTCATCCGCATGTTCTCGGACCAATTAATCCCAACAATGAGCGTATTCGCACACTTTTTGGTGATCAAGGAGGCCATATTTAAGCGCTCTACGTCTTCGTCAAAAGCGAGTACAATGTTTTTCTGAAATAAGGATCTCTGTTTGGAAGTACTACTCTAGTTGGGTTTATTTATTGCCACAGTTTTAGTTGCCGGTGTATATCGATCAATAAAATACTGCAGAAGGAATCAAGAAAGCTTTACTTAATTAATTAATTAACAATCAAATTCATACAGCCCGTGCTGGAAAATGTTATTTAATGAACTCTTTTTCCAAAGAAACCGAGCATGACTAAAAAGCACCACTTAAAACATGGTTTCCCGTCTCAACATGTCATGAGTGGATCGCGAGCCATGGCATATTCCCGATGTCGATAAAACAGCCTGCAGAAAAATTACATGTTAACTTTTCTCATTAAATAGATGTTTTTTATATTTTGTATATGACCACGTACAATATAATACACGCAATCAGTTGCGCAGCTGAAGCAAAAACAATCGAAAATCATGCCTCTAGACTCTAATGGAAAATTTTCCAACTTAGACGTGCACTTTACAGAACACAAACATATGGAAAATTTTTGAGTGTCGCAAAAAAGAGTAACCGTGACCGTACGTGGCGCAAAGTGGTACGTTATTAACAGAATATAAGGACTGACCAAATAATTATTTACCTGACTAGAGGCGGTGTGGGGTGATGCAGACTTTTGCATTCCGCAACGGAAGTCCAAATAGCCCGGCTGAAGTCAGGGGCAACGCTGCGAATGTCGAAAATGCATTCGTATTCGTCGATCAGATCGGGATTGGTTACGTCGTCAATATCTTGCACTTGCACGCGCAAATTTGCCAACTAAGAATTAACCAAATACACTGTCGCAATAAAATTAGAACTACGCTATGTGACAAATTTTATGTTTACATCGAAAGATGCCGGGACGTACAGATACTTACTGTAAATTAGATAATTCATTACAGTATAGTTATTCAGATTCTGGGCGGCATTTAATTACAAGTATGCAATTGCATTATAGACTATTGCTAAATGCCAAAACTAACCTCAGTTGCATAAGTACATAAACCACATATATCTATATAGTTAAGTGCTTAATATAGACGATATACTGTAACTTACATTAGTGTTAGCACAAACGTCCCGGATAATACTGCGCCCTATATCAAAGACATCGGTGTTGGAGATCTCAAAAACTTTCTCAAAGCTGGAGAAGGGCTTCGGGCCTGGCCAAGTGGCTAAGGGCGTTCGTCTGCAAGCAAAAATAAAGCGACGCTATAATTACTGAAGTGAATTCAAGAAGTTCCAGTGGCATCTTCGGTACGTCCATGTTTTTTTTTCATATAACAGGACATACTGCAAGCAGTATTGACTGCATCTATACACGCATTACTTCCTACAGTAGGCAATGGAATGGGAAACTACTACAGTTAGACTTACGTATCCAGATCAGCCGTGAACAGTGGATCACACTTGCTTGCTGTGTCGCAGAACTTGTTGTTGTACATGAGGCTTTGCGGATTTTCAAAACGAACTAACTGCACTTCCACTCGGATTCTGTTGGTGTCCTGTTACAATAAACCAAAACTAAAACTATTTGTCACATGCATAATGGTTTTACCCCGAGACCGTAAAGAACAATTTACTATGGAGTAGTTGTTTATGAGGTAAACTGCAACGATGACAAAATCGCGCTTCCATTTAAAATATGTGAGTTTTAGTACTATTGCACTTGTTGTGACCACAAGCAATAATTTTCAGAATGCCGAAAATGCAGTTGCATGTCTGCTTTGTGCGATTAAATTGTACAATCACTGCTCGTACTTTTATGCGCTAACAAAGTTGTCAGGCGATATTAACACTTTTAGTTTTAAACCTTCAGTTCAGCATTCACCTACCAGTAATTGCTGACCACCATTGACCGGGCTGCCGTTAACATTGGTGATCTGGAACGAACTTTCGCCACTGCTACCACCGGAAGGCTGCACCGGTCTGCCATTGACACTGGTAATTTGAAATTGTCCTTGCACCTAATAATAAGATAGCAAAAAAATTAATAACAATAAATTCTTTTGAATACACACTTTGGCGGATACATAAATTTCGAAGTCACGAACTACAAATTTGTATATTTGGGAAAGCATCTGCTGAAGAATGTACACAAGATCGCGCATAGATAGATCGAGCGTATAGATCTTAAATATATATCAAGCGTATAGATCTTAAATATATATGTATAGCCCAGAAAGGTCAGAATGCGGCATCGCGTATTTGTATAAATTTTCCAATTATAGTGGCAAATAAAACTGACTCCAAACAGATAATAAAGTAAAGAAAGGGGATTGCTTACCAGCGACAGCGCTCCAAAGGAAGCAGCAATCCAAACATGTAGACCTGTCATTGTGTATTGCACTTCAACAAATAAATCTTCTTTTGTACGAGTACGAAACTGTGAATGCACACTACGTGCACAATAAACCTACAAAGCAACAGAAACAAAACGAAAAAATGCGTGAAGCGCTGATGGTGAGAGCAACAACTATTTTTGCACCGATGGCGTCAATGGAGCCGGCAGATTTTTCGGATAAGTGTTGCAGTTCACACCGTAACATAATCTGTGCGCAAGGTAGAAAAGTATTAATATACCTGCGGCTAGATTTTTTGGTAACCACTCATGCTTTACGGCTACACTTTACGAGAACGCACCTTGCAACTGTTAGGAACGGCAGCTTTTAAAACGGCCAGTACACAGGTAAAACACTCTATTTGATGGTATTTCGTGAAAAATGATGTTGGCGGAAAGTTGAAACGCTGAGTAAGCCGGCCACAAACACTGACTAACATAGTAAACAGATCCATTGTCACTTGTGAAAGATGCACAATCGATTTATGGACCAATAAGGTCACGGTGTAAAATTTCACTACGAAGGATATTGCGCATTGTTCCCACTGACAATCTTGCTGCATGATATTTATGCTCTCCACAACAATTGGCACCAGCAAGTGTTCTGTGTCTTGTACTGGTCAAACTTTTGCATAAAGTTTTAAGGGTTATCATTTTTACCGATTGACTCTTGGAGATTGAACCATATTCTGACGGGTCAAGAAATTATCGTCTTGTTTAATAAATAACAAACTGAAAAAGCATGAAGTGTGGTTGTATAGTTCAGCTGCAATTGCACAAACCATTCAGTCTATTAAATTCTTCAGCGAACATCGATTCTATTCAGACCGCCGTTTTCGAACAACAGCAACGGTACCGATGGCAAAGCAGCCAAAGTTACATACACCTTGGGAAATCTTATTGTTAGAGCAAGCAGATACTTATATTTCTGAGCAATGCACATAAGATACCAGTGCTTTTCCCAGATGCGTTGATTTTTATAAAAGAAATTGTTTTAAATTCACTTTTGTGCCAGGCATTTTCATGTCGTCCGCATACTTGTCTTTACCCATCTGATTTTATTTTCCACTACCGCGTCATTTTCTTCGGCATTTCGTTCGCGGAACTGCGCGTTGTCAGTATGCTGCACTTTGCTCGCTTTCCCTTGTTATAATCGCTGAACTTGTTTTAAATCGGGATATTCCTCTACTACGGCTTTATCCTTTACTCGTTGGGATCGTAGCCGTTCCAGAACGAGCTTTAGGCAGCCAAGCGATCATAAGCATAATGGCAATGAGGACATTTGTCTTAGCTCCGTAATGCGGATCCATGGCAGCCCTCACAGACTCTCGGCGCACAAAATCCATCCAGCGCTTACCGATGTTCTTCAGAACTACAACAGCAGCCATGTAAAATTCAACAGCCCGTAAGCCATTATGCATGGATAAAAAGTCAAGACTGCGCTTTTCACTTGCATGCTGCAATTTACGCATACAAATACATCTGTCTATACAAGTAGGGCTGGCGTTAATTTGAAAAAAAGAATTGAAGGTAATTATAGCAGCCAGTCCGGCGTTAATTATGAATGCCTTACCGGGATTATCATTATGAATGCCTTACCGGGAGATAAAACTGGCACCATGATGACTGGTACGCACACCAGTAGTCCCAGTCGCGGCTAAAGCAAGGGGCATTATGATAAATTCCAGCCCCAAAATTTGAGCAGTGCTTCTGCAAGGCACATCCACATCAAACTACAACTCACCACTTCAGATTCCACACCACCACGGACGCTTATATTGAACGCCTGCCACCACAGTGATAAGAAATTCCCCAAAACCGGTGAGAAGGAGCCACCTGCCGCGCTCGTTCTATGCCATGGCTTGATGCTCCCAAGAAAATGGACAATCTTCACATTCCTACCATATCTGCCAGAATCTTATCGTTACTGCAATTAAGTAATGAAAGCCTGAACAAACTTAAGTGCGTAAGCGTGGAACATACTGTTTAAATGCCGGCGACTCAATCGCTGTAGTGACCATGTTGTAAACAAAGGAAAGTCGTTTCCAGTCCGGGAAAAACTGATTCAACAAGCCCTTGTCCCCACCTGTTGGACGGCACAGCATTTTCACACAAAACCATTCGCAAACAAAAAATACCACATAGCGGTTTAAACCGAAAAACATAACCAAGCCAAGAATACGTGGGCAGAACAGTCAAGAGTAAACATAGCGCAGACAAACGGCTGTTGTGACCGCCAGGGAAATTGCGAAATATATTGGGGATACACGAAAATGAGCATATACGAAAACCACGAGACATGCCATAGAAGATGCAACTGGTTGGAAATTACGAATCCCGATCGTAGCCTGGATAGGTATGTAAACTAATGTTCCAAATCCAAAATGCCGAAAATCAACTATAAATAACTTTTACAACTCATTAAAATTTACTCACAATTGTCAGTTCGAACTTTGAAGTCAACTACAGTATGATGAGAATTTCAAACGTGCGAATGTCCTGCTACGAATGTGCCACTTTCAAAGAATTTGGTCCGATACATAGCGCCAAATTCGTGTGCATCCACGGGAACTTTCGCTGTCGCGCACTCCCAGACACTATTTTTGCATTGATTTATGACATTCTGTAGGCAAAAAACTGGTATGCGTAGGCGTGAAACCCGTTTGCGCGCGCGACATCCGAATTTTGATTCACCCGTAACTTTTCAATCGGATGTCGCGCGCTTTCAAACGGATTTCACGCCTATGCATACAACTTTGGCTGCAAAATATAAAGCAACGGAAAAGTGTTTGGTAGGGCGCGACAGCGAAAGTTCTCGTGGATGTACGCAAATTTGGTGATATATACCGGGCCAAATCCCTTAAAATAAAGTTTGTGCACTTCCGCAAGCAAAAAGCGAGTGCAATCAGAACAAACAAAATTTTTCGGAAAAATTCCCGGCGCACAGAAATGACCTTAAGTTGCTCCTGCAGCAGTATCATATTTTACCGTCAAATGATCCCTTCTCCAGTGCGAACTGAATAAGCTGAGTGTATGTGTCAGTATTCGGACGAAACACGAAAACACCAGTGTTAAAACAATCCGGCCAGCCAACATAGGTCACTGCGGATAATTCTTCGTGGTCAAAAAGATTGTCCACATTCTGCAGCACCTGTTAATAAAACAACATTAGCCAAACACCCTTTTTTTAAAAAATGTGGTGAACGCTCTGTTTGTTCAAGGAATCGATTCAAACCCACCAAACAATCAGCACTGATGAATACTGCTTTCTGAAATTGTGTGAGATTCCAGGCATAGAGTTTTGTCAGAGTGAAAGCAAGTTCCGGCCGAGCCAGCAGCGCCAAGTTGGCCGCATCCTTGGGATCCAAGACATTGACCTCTTGAATTACGTCATAAACTTTCTGCAATCTATGCCTGCAAAAAGAAATTTAGGCACAAGACCGAGAATATGAGGTTCAGAATTAAACTACATGGTAAGAAGCTGGATAAAACAAGACACAGTTAACGGTTACATCAAAATTTTCGATTTAAGATGGCAAAAATGGGTTCCAAAAATATGTAAGCATGGAGTTTTAAGTGGATCGCTTGGACAGAAAAGTAAGTGGACAGAAAATCATCCAAGCAAGCGAAGCAACCATCGTTAAACTTGTCCGTATACTGGCGTACAATGCATATGTGATATGCGTACTGTGCAATGTGTGCATACTGCATACATAATTGACAATTGTTATCGCGAAAATAAATGCACACAATTTACAAATGACACAGTCTGCCATCAGTATTGAACAGGACTCCTTTATGAACAACGAAAACTAGAAAATTTACCGCATAGCGTCGGATACGTCTGGAGTAATGAGGATGACCAATTTTCGAGTCGTCCCAGTACCGCGCAAAGAATGACCAAGAACGAGCGCGCCCAGTCCATATGAGTCGTCAGTACGAGGACATTTGGGTGCTGTGAACATACCCTGCACGATTAGGTTGCGATGAACAGCCGGCTAAATTAATGGCAGTCGATTGCCTCAACCGTGTATGCCATCCTGGGCGGCTGGCAAACCAGCCCTAATGTTACGAAATTGGTCGCATCCACGGATTTTAAACAGATTTTCTCCATAGACTGGGATGCTAACTTCAGATGCGTGTCATTCTTGATTTTGAAAATGAAACTGTTCAAGTCATATACCAAACGACAGAAAATTAACTTTCACGATTTTTGAGACCAAAGAAGTTGTGGTTTGTGGCAAATGAAACAAGTTACAGCCATTTTAGTTTTCTCGTAGACTTAGCATACAGTTCACGATCAAAGGTCCCACGCGGCGATTCTATGCTGTGTCTACGAGAAACTTCAAACAGCTGTAACTTGTCTTTCACGCCATAAACTGCAACTTGTTTGGTGTCAAAAATCGTGAAAATTAATTTTCTGCCGTTTGGTATATGACTTGTAGTTTCATTCAAATCAAGAAAGCACAGGCATCTGTTAGCATACCAGTCTATGGAGAAAATCTGTTTAAAATCCGTGGATGCGACCAATTTGTAACATTACGGGCTGGTTTGTCCAGCCGCCCAGGATGCATACACGGTTGAGGCAATCGACTTCATTAATTTAATGGCTGTTCATCGCAGCCTAATCGTGCAAATATATTCATAACACCATCGTAATCAAGATTACAAAAATGCTTGCCCTGCAAAAGCGAGTCCTGTCAAACCGGATTCCGATTTCCGAAATACTTAGCTTTCCTGTCTATGTCCAGGATTTCCGCCCCGTAATTTACAAGACACGGAACAAAGGCAGAAGCGCCACCACGTTACCAATGCGGGTTCAAGCGCTTGGCTGTTGCTGTCTGCATCTTTCGTGCCAAAATCAGTTTACGGTACGAAACGGCAATGACAAACTTACCTGAACTCATTTTGCAGACAGAATACAATGAAGTACCAACGCAAACAGCCGACGATGGAAACTAGAAGGGTGTCTTTGCACTGCGTTAGTGCACTCCGTATAAAATTGCCAGGGACTGTTAGGACATGCAAAGAGCCTGTCAGTGTGGCCAAAATCAAGTGGAAGCGATAAACAACAATATTTCGAAAATGCCACAGCTGGAGAACCTTTTGTACATTCATATGACAGCAGCTAAAAGTAGATTTTCTCTGGCCCGTGGCGTTAAGCCTTAATCACCACGGTTCCTCGTTGTGTTCCCTCGGGAAGCGAATGCGAAGAAAACTGAAATTTCCTTGCCTAGTGTACCGTAAAATTCCTACTGAATAAAAAAAAATCCACTTGCAAAACACAAACTGAAACAAAGACTAAACTAAACTAAACGAAACTTGGTAGTAAACTAGCTAAACTTTCGTGAGCAAAGACGCCAAAGAGTCAAAGACGAACTAAAGATGCCTGTTATTATGTTATAATATGCCGCTTTTAATGCCGTTAATGTTGTGCTGCGTAAAGCGTATGACTACGAGTTGAAGCGGGGCCATGCACACTTTCCCCGCTAGAAGCAGCGTAGGTACATCAGATATTAGCTCAGGTACAGCCCGGCGGACGCTTATACCGTTCGTGATAGGGCTGTACCTTTGTACGACGAGTGCAATACTTAAGAAAATCAGTGTGGAAAGATCGGGAGTTTGGTACCAGTTTAAAAAGCCATGCTAGAAGTATGCTCTGCAGTCTGAACGCATCTCTACCGTAAACTGAGAACTGCTTGCAGGTTTGGCTTTTCGCTAACGTTGTGAGGTTCATTTTTAAAAAAATTTCAAGTTTGAAAATGAAACGCTGACAAAAAAGTTTCCTGGTTTAAGCGAGATGTTGACGATCTAAGTGCTTTGCGTTTAAAATAGAAGTCTACGGCAAACTGCTCCATAGAAGAGCAAATGCGTTAAACGCAAAAAGTTTAAAGCGTTGACGTGTACTGGCGTCCCTTAGTACACATCGGTACTACTTTACTACTTCTACCCTTACAACTAAGGCTTAGGCTTTACTACATCTTCTACGCGAGTCATGACCCCGAGTCTCTACGTCGACTTCTTAGAAATCCCCAGCAGAGAACTTTGACCGCGACTTGCCATTTCGACGTGACCGCGCTTCGATGACGTAGCTCAACCTATTGTTCTAGTGTATTAGTTGACCTGATGTTCTCATTAGTCCACGTGTAGTGATGCAGCCGTGTGATTAGTCCACGTGTCCTCAGATGTCTCTTATTGGTTAGGTTCTAAATCCCTATTGTTCTCAGACCCGTACCTGCGCGTACGAAGAGCCAGCACCTGCGAGTGCCCAGGGCTATATAAGGCGCTCGTCGCCCACAGAAATGTCAAGAGTTGTAATCCCAACAAAAGTAGAGTCTTGTTACTCGATCTGATTAACTTCAGGCTTTTGCTCTGGTCTTCTCTTTCCAAGTGAGGCTGTTCAAACTGACCTCTGGGTGACCTTTCACCTATTGTCAGGGGTCATTCCTCTACTTCGTCGACGTGCATTATCATCTTCGGATAGTCTCGTGACGTAACAGGCTACCCACTTGATCCCACTTGTTTGCCTTGACCTTTCGGTCCCTTCGATCTTCATGCCCTGTAGCGCCAGGTTGATGGATTTCTCATACGCTTCAGCTACCATCTAGCGTCGGACAGGTAACGTATAACTTCACGCATCCCTTGTGTTTCCTTTCGTGTCTTCTCTTTCAGCAGGCTTTCGAGTTCCGGATCCTCTTCTTCCTCCTTGCATATCATCTCATACTTGTACATCAACATCCTTGAACTTTCGCTCCATGAAATACATAAGAAGTTGAGATTAAGAGTCGCTCTATTCCTCCGACTGGTCGTGGTCTGGGAAGTGGTATAGGAAGATCTGACAACGTCTTTCAATTATATTGCACGACATGGCGCCCACCGTGGTTCAAACTTTCCCGATGGAGCAGAAAGTTTAATTTAATTTGATAGTACAATTAAATTGATGGTGCAGGATGGTTGGTGGTCAACTCGAGAGAGCCCACATTTAAGAAAGTCCGTTAGGAGCCACTAGTGTGGTGCAGGAGGTCTGCGTTCCAGTTCTGACCTAGGGTAACCGAGTCCCCCGGTTTGATTGATGTATAGATTGATTCGCACTTAGCGATATATATTTTGGGTGACAATACGGACTGAGAACAGTATAGGCACTTGAAAACTGTTCGTGTATGCGGCACTTTACGTGTCTATGATTGAAAAAGCACCGTAAGACCATTCGAGGTCAAAATTTCCTTTCATTTTATTTTTCTTTTCTGAACCGGGCAAGCCAGAAAGACTAAGTGAATCTGAACGGCAGAACCAGCAGGATTAGCTGAGTGGAATTGTAAGTCAAACGTGCGAAAATTCGCAGTGTATTTTTAGCCGTTCTTTAATATTGAATCTTCGTCAAAATGTCGAATTTTTGTAAATATGGCGTATCCGAGTTAGCGGAGTAGCCATCGTACTACGATTTTGGAAAATTTTCGGTAATCAACAGAGCAGATATAGCTGTCTCTTGTTGCGAAACGCAGTGTCACTGTTAACTGGAAATCAGTCACAGTGTCGTAATTAGCGGGTAAAAATACGAAATAACAGTTGAAACCTTAAAGGTCAGCTGTAAATACGAGTTGCTTACTTACGCTTGAGTGCGTGTTGTAGCAACGAGATAAATACGAGTTGGTTACGCATGCTTGAATGCGTGCTGTAACAACGAGATTTTCGGACGTGTTGTTTCGGCACCGCGGAGGTTGGTATTGAGTTAGCGTCGTCCTAACGAAACGGTGTTGTCAGGAGTCACAGCTTTGAGTAGCGTATGTGCATCTCTGTCAAGAGCCGTGGGTCATACGAGTTGGTTGATTTGTCAATCAACGGGAACAGTGTAACTTTCACTTTCTGAATCCAGTTGTAATTGGTAAGGTTAGTCGCGGTTGCATTGCAAACAAAATGTCAGAACTAGCAGAATTAACTGTGAAACGAGATGGCTTTTGGCCATTGAGAAAAATCGAATCAGATAGATTGCAGTCGAAAGCGGTTGAAAGCGGGTTTGACACTCGTTTTCAGTTTCCGAAGAAAGTTCCCCTTGGCTTAATGTATAGGGCAGTAGGGTTAGAACCTCCGGAGAAAAAGAGCGCGTATTGCAGTCAACAATGGGTTGACTGGGAAGACAAAAATTCAACGTTGGTAAGAGCTCCGAGTTACTATAGCACTTGGTTCTCGCACGAACGGTCTATTCCGTCAGCTTATTTGAATATGTCAGAAGCAGAGTTTAAAGCAGCGAAAGAATGGGCAACCTTGAATGTCACTGCGTACGAGGCAGAAGTGCAGCAAAGAAAGGAGTCAGGTACTGGTAAGAAATCTCGGGATACCATAGTTATGTCAGATGGGCCGTTAAACGCCTCGGTAATTATTGAGAATTCTGGGAATGGGGGAAGTGAGTCGTTGTTGGACTTGGAAGATAGTTCGGCTTCGAGTGCACAGAAAAATGGCATGACTCTGTCTAGTATACAGTTGATGTCAAGTCAGTCAGTTGGTACGGTTAATCCTGGGAAACAGGTAACTCCGTCAGTGGTAAATCCAGATCAAGTGGTGGATCCGAGGAGATCGGTGATGTCGCAACTGGTAAATCCACATTCAGTAGGGCAGTCGGTAAATGTGCAGAATGCAGAAGTAGTTGGAAATGCGGTTGACAATTTGAATTCAGTAGCGGTAAGGAATTTCGTAACTCCGTCCAATATGGCGAGAGAACGTAGTGCAGCGGCTCAAGTAAGCGATGAACGCGTGATCGCTATGAGCAATGATCAGAATAATAGTACGGTTGGCAGTAATTTCCTTGGTAATATTACGATGAGAGAAGGAACTCCTTTTTCTGAAAATTCAGACGATGAAAATAATACGGCGTTTAATTGTGAAAAGTCGTTGTTGGATGAAGATATTCCTTTTGATGAAAATGTGAATAACCTTTTGCATCCTCTTCAATCAGATTTGCGGCATTTCATTTTTGAAAATGATTTTGATCCTTTAAATCAGGAATTTGCGCAAGAAGTAAGTGAGGTTGACGCTAAGTTGAAAGCTTCAAAATCGGAGCAAGAGGCATTAGCAGTCACTCGTGATTCATTGGGTACTATGATTCGGTGTACGAAAAATTATGTTGCATTGTGTCTTAGGCAATTGCAAAATAGCAGTGAAATTGATCGGTTGAATGAAATTTTGTCTAAAGACGATAAACTGAAAAATAAATTACACGGTGATATTTCGGCTCTAAGGCAGCAGTTAACGGCAGTTCAGGCAAGTAATGCAGAACATGAGAAAAATGTTCGTGCACTTTCGAGTAAGTGTCAGGTGAATGAAAAACGTATTCGCGATCTTGAGGAGGAAGATTCTCAGTCGTCGAAATTAATTTTGGAAAATCAGGAGCTTAGTGCTCAGTTGCGGTCAGTAAATGAACATTTGCAGAAAGTTAAGGCAGAAGCGTCAAAATCGCTTGGTTCGAGTAATTTGCAGGCTTTAGCTGTTTTCAAAGAAAATGAGAAGAAATTGCTTTTGGAAATTGAGCAGTTAAAAGTTAATTGTAAATTGGAATGTAATGCGAAAATTGTTGCGGAAAAAGATTTGAAATCAGCCTTGAGTAGGGAACGCAAGCTTAATGCAACGCTTGAAGAGAAAGAGAAATTAATTCATTCAGTTGGTGTCAGAATTGACGGTAAAGATTCCGAAATTCTTGATTTAATGCAGCGTATGGAAAAATTGCGAGTTGAAGCAGAAGAATTGAAAGGTAATCAGATTTCGCATGAAAGAGAGTGGAATTTTGAACCTGAAGTTCGTGTAGGTACGGGTAATTTCGGGTCAGGTCATTCTCAGGGTTTTGTACCGAGCGGTAACGTGAATAATCATGGTAGCGGAAGCAGTCAGTTTAACGCGGGTAATTCAGTCGGTAGCA